TTTCCTGTTAATTCTCTGAAGAGTCCCATCAAAAACAAATTGAATTTTTACATCCAACTTATTTGATTAAGTTGGATGTATCATGTAATAGTAATCGATCAAATTAATTATTGTTTACATGTGATAGTCATTGTAATATGAGTTTCACCATATTACCACGATGACTTATTATTGATTTACAATACCAAGTTTAAGTGACGAGGTAATAATCACCATTGGACTGTTTTGACCTCATTGCACTCAATAATGGTTATAAGATTAGACAAACTTTTTGAACCTTTCAACATATTGGACCACCAGCCATCATAATCTTTGGTTTGGCCCAAAAGCTCTACATTGTCATTGCAGATTTCAACGCCACTGGGAAAAATCTCTGTTTTCCTACATTGTTGCCCCTTTTTCGTACTAGTTTGTTGATTTACAAGCGTATTCCAAGATAGTTAAAGTTGTGTTTGGTAATAGAGTTTTTGTTTTTTTGTTTTTTTCATTTTTTAGGAAAAATAAAAATGAATTTGATGAATGCTTTCATTTTTGTTTTTACTGCTATATTTTTTAAAACAAGGTCAAAATATAGAAACATTCAAAATACAAAACACACGCGGGGCTTCAATGGAATTTAATGATATCTTAATTTCGATCCTCCTTAATAAAAATAAAAAAAAAAAAAATTAGTTGAGTATAAAAACTCACCTCCCTCTTTCACTTTTTTTTTTTTCCAGCTCTCTCTCTATCTCTCTCAAGGGTTATTGGTGGTGGGTTTTAAAGGGGTTGGGTGGGGGTAGGGAGGTGGGTTTTAAAAGGGGGGTTGGGTGGTGGGTTTTGAGGCTTGTTGATGGTTGGTTTCGAAGGAAATGGGAGGTGGGTTTTGCAGGGGAGTTGAGTGGTGGGTTTTGGTGGAGTTGGGTGGTGGGTTTTGGGTGGTTGGCGGTGGTTTGTGTGGTGGGTTGTGGGTGGTTGGTGGTGGTAAGTTTTGGTGGTAAATTTTCGGTATAATACCAAACATATTTTTTATTTTTATTTTTATAATTTTATAAATATAAATAATTATCAAACATGTTTTATATTTTTAATTTTTATCACAAAAAAAAATTAATTTTTATCACAAAAAAAAATTAATTTTTATTTATTTATTTATAAAAATGTATAAAAACTATAAAATTTACCAAACACAACCATAAAAACTGTGTTAATTACCAACGAAATCACTTGAACTAAGAGGCTATTTCGTGGTAAAGAAATATGAATGGATGAAAAATAAAAGGTGAAAAATGGAAAGGAAAGGACACTTTCCATCATTTGTTTTTGATGAATGGAGCAAATCTATTAGATGGAACCCACATGTGTAGGTAATAAATGCTGAGAGAAGTATAGAATTCACAACATATAGTAATATTTTCTAAAAGGGTATTTAAGGTATTTAAAAGAGAATGATTTCTTTTTATTTTTTTACTCAAATTAAATAAAAAAAATTATTTATTCTATTTTTCCATCTTTTCTATCAAACACAAAGAAGAAAAAATCACTTTTCTTTCCTTTGGCGATGAAAAAGTTATTCTTCCTACTTTTTCATCCCTCTGACCAATCAAATGAAATTAACTTGGATTAAACACCAGAAAAAACACGTGGAGAATATATTCTATATAAAAGTGATTTTAGTTCTTCCAGTTGTTCACCAAATGGAATGGTCGAAAGAGAAAAGTCTAGTATAGCTTTCTAGAGGCTTCTTCAGGTTCAATGTATGACCACCCACCATATGAGGCTATTGATTCACATGTTTCCCATTTTTTAACATTTAAGAAAAGGCACCTCAATTGTTTAATACCTCACTTGATTTAAAATGATAGTAAATGCTCAGTTATCCAAGTAGGACATAGCATCTGACCAAAAAAAAGATCAAAAAAAATAGTACATGGGAGATTTGAGTATAAAAATCTATTGGATGAATGTCTTTATTTATTTATTTACTTTTTTTAATGCTTAGGGATATTTAGATTAATTTACATGTACCTCGATAAAAAAATTTTTGGTCCAGTCAAAGATAATTTATTTACGTCAAAATTAAAATAGAGGTTGTCTTTCACTATAGATGAATACTTTTGATTTTCTATCTTTAAAAAGAAAAACCATGTCTATTTAAGACGTTTAGTACTTAGTTTGAACCTTAAACTAAACGGAAAAAAATTATTTATGTAAGCAATGACTTCATGGGCCTACTTTTGGATGATACCAAGTTCCCATGCTTGTCTTAGTTGCTAACAAGTTGAATATGAGTGTTATTGTACTAATTAAAGTCATTATTTTGTGCACACAACACATGGATCATGACGAGTGGTAAATAGAAGTGTAGATGGTCTTGAGAATGCTTAAGATGTTTCTTATTTTGCCACCCCCATGTCGTCTACATGGGCGAATTACTATCTCTTGCTTATGTCATATATGTGCAAGGGATTAAATTTGCACGGGGATATCCTCCTCTCAACGAAGGATTTTGACTGACCTAGATCCCTTTCTACAACAATCTAATAGTCTTTACCTCTCAGTGCCCATAAGAACCTTGTCCTACATCGATTGAGAGTTGTCTTCCCCCCGTATACAAGTCGATGTGGGACGAGGTCCTCGGTGGGGGAAAGAGATTCAAACGCGCGATTTAATCTCTTACAGTGCACATAACAAAAAGTTTAAAGTCAAAGATACAAATGAGGAGTATTCTTATGGGCAGAAAAAAAAACGGAGAAATGTGTGGTGGTGTATTGAACTAATTAAAATTTTTTTGTTCTAATCCAACCTAACTTTGTACTAATGGATCTTTGGTTCAATGGTATTGTTTATCTTATAAAAATTTTGTCTTCTTGAAGTCAAGGATTCAAGTCCCGTCCTCTTTCCCCTTCCCCTTCCCCTTCCCCTTCCCCAAAACAAAATTTAAAAAAAAATCCAACCAAACCCCACAACGACAAAAAAATAGAAGAAAATTTGCAAACATTTTGCACCATTCTAAAAACTCAATCGTGTTGAATCGACATTCATTTGTTAGATACACAATAACATCATGCAAATTAACTGTCACTAAATCATGCTCTCTATATTTGGTTAAAATTGATCCCATAATGCTTAATATTCACAATATTTCATATGCATGCTTTTAAGAGATTTGAACTTATTTTGAGATCACAAATTAAGATCAATTACCATTATTCTAAAAGGCTGTTTTTAATTGATGGCATTTGTTTCAAGTAAAAATCGATCAAACATATAACCAGTATATTAAAAAATGTCAAAAGTGATAACCTCTTGAGATTAGATTATGAGGAATTTATCATTAATGAATATCCTAGTCTCGACGTGAATAGTCTGCATTTGACCGGACCGGGAAGAAAATTAACTAAGGTGAACATAAGTTGGTCCGAACGCCTTTGACCGTTGAATCCAAAAAAAAAAATGTTAAAAGTGCTAGTCTATGTTTTACCTTATTTCTATTATATGATTTAAATTGAATACAAAAGGCCAAAAATAGTAATTTTGAATCCCGAAAATGAGAATAACGAATTCTGGGTAAAAAAAAACAGTTTTGCATTTCAAAGAGGTAATAGACATTACAATATTATTATTTAGATACATTTGGTTCAAATTGTCTATAGACAATTCTTATTATCGTGTATTTTCACTGAACATACAGTCAAGGCCAAATTAGAGACCAAGACAATGTGCATGACCAAGTCATTCGTCGTTTTTTCAGCGAGCCTTTTTGGCAAAACATCGCAGCCTCTGTGCAGGTGCACGCATGTATGAGTGTAGACAGTGACCCAAATTGCAAGTTAAAAAAGCTTCCCAAGTTTATAACTTAAATTTGTATTTTAAATCAAAAAAAATGATTGGATTAGTAAGTCATGTCATGTCCAAAAAAAAAAATTATTAAGGTTTATTGATTCAATCATCTTTATTGATTTAAATTATAAATTTAGATTACATATTTAAATTAAATTGTGTGGTATCATTCAAAAAAAAAGTCACACTGGGCGAACCTTCCAGATGGGTTGGCCCGGCTGCTGTGCCTGTGGCTGCTGGCGGCTTTGAGTCGTTCTTCACAAGAAAAGAAAGTCAACAGAACCGCGTTTGGTTTTGACTTGGAATTAGTCTATAGTCTTCCTTCTTTTACTCCATTACTCGCTCCCTTAACTTTACCCCACAAGGTCCACCAACCTCAACTGGACCCTCTCTCTCTCTCACTCACACACTCAATTCTATCTCCATCTCTACCGACTTCAGTCCATAAGGTACCACTTAGCCCGCACAAAACTCAAACTCAACGTGTTCCACTCTCTTTGTGTTTTTTATACCTCTAATATGCCACGTACATACTTCAATTTTTATTTCCTCTGGCCTTTTGGAGTTACTTGTGCACCCTCCTTCCTCACACTTGACACGCAACCCCCCGGCCCCCCCCCCCCCCCC